AGATCTCTCTTGCACTGCAGGTCCTGTGGACTGTGGGTAGTTAGACCTGATGATAGACACTGTTGCAGGTAAATGAACCTCAGAGGAATTCAACAGCAGAGTTTCCTAAGTTTTATTCTGTGAATTCTCGATTGAAATTTAGCTCAGTCACAGCACAGGCAGATGGGGTTTGGTTTAATTCTGAATGGGCAGTGGTCTGATTTTTGGATTAGTCACTGTCCGGTGCTACCACGTGTTCTAGACAGTGATGGCTTGTGAAGTGCTAGAGCGTTGAATATCAGAGCCGAACCGGTCTGCGTGCAGAGGCTTTTCTCCACTTTGCTGGGTTCTGCCAGACCCTTAACTCTAAAGAAGTAAGTACATTTGTAAATTAAAGGACGACCCTTGTGATTTCTTTCAAGCCTACGCTTCTGGTCTACAAAGTGTCCAGACGTTACAGAAGGAAATGCCCATTCTGAATGCTGAAAGCTTCTCGTAGACCTGTAATTCCTGTGTAGAATAGTGTTTCTGGGCTTTATGTTACTCACCTAAAGTCTGTCTAGAAATAAAAAAATCACAATGCGCTGACATAGACCACAGCCCAGCTTTGTTGGCACAGCTGGTTTGTGCAGTTCATTATTGGTGTTGCAGAACTCTGCTCTTCTGTAGTGCCCTGGGTGATGCCACCGGGAACAATGAGCTCTACTTGCTTCAGAACATACTGCGTTTGATCCCTGGGAAAAATAAGCTATATTTCATGCTTTGATCTGAGCTGATCTGGTTTAGCTCTGTCAGCTTTCTGCTTTGATCAGAACGGGTGTAAGAAAGGCACGAAGAGAAGTGATTTGTAGAAGCTCACAGATGGGAGTTCATGATTTAAACTGGATTAAGGCCTGAATTGACCATCTTGGGATGTTGCTCTGACAGCAGAGGCATTTCTCTTCTACAAGACCTTTAATAACTTGTTTGGGGTGGGAAGCAGGGGAAGGGGATTCTCATCTGCACGATTATCTTGTGACTATTGTTTGCATCTTCAGTCTTCAGCACCACCACACGGTACTTCTCGGCAAGTCCGGGCTCCACTGAAACCTTTCATTCTTACCCGGGATGCTGCTCAGGCTAAGTATGTTGTTTTCTGATTATTTAGACACAGTACGGTGCGGTGCTCTCTTCTCACGTCAAGCCTAGGATACTTTTTCAAATGCAGAAAACCAGTCGTTACCTTCAGGCAGCATGTCGCATCAAGATGGCGTGTGTTGTGCATCTGGGCAGGGGATGGGGGGAACATCTAATGCGTTTCTTGAACTTTCTCTGGTTTCTTCTGTTACCAGCATGCTGCAGTGTCTTGGCTAATGCTGTTTCCTCCTGTTGGGATGGCAGAAGAGGAGTTTGTATTAAGCAAATATTACTGTGTTAGTTTATAGGCCATGTGCTTGCTGTTTGGTAAGCTGCGGAGAGGCAAGGCTTGTCTGCCCCTCTAACCTCCGTGTGATATAACAGGATTGCTCTTCACTGCTGAAATAAAGAGCCCAGCAGTGAAAAGCACATGTGGTTTCTTAATCTAATGTAAACTCTGGAAGATTTCAGTGAATTCAAATAAGTGATCTGAGGGGCTGGGAAGATGTGATACCTACCAGAGAACCATCAGTCACAATAATACAGTTTTTTAACTGTAAGGCTTTCCCCAGGGTGTCAAGATCTTAACACTTTGTGGCGCTGTGAGATTCATGTAAGGAATATGGCAGCTAAAGCACAAAATGGGATAGAAACCAGATTTCTTGTCGAGCTTTTGACATTATTTGCCCTGAGCCTTCCATATATCTATTTAGCCGAGCCGTGCCTAATTCAGTTCCCAGGAGCCTCCTTGGCAAGCTGTGCTAGCACAGAGTGTTCTCCTTTGGGCTGGAGAAGTGATTCAAGGTCTTTGGACTAGAACAGTCCTCACCTCTCTAAACTAGCAGGATGAACTCTTTAAATGCCGTTATGGCTAGGTTACTGGCAAGTCTGTTGCTGAAGGCCGAGGCTGTAGAAATACGTTTGTTCTCAAGCCCTCCTTGATAACTTGCCTTATATTGTTAGTACAAATTGGATTACAGAGTAGTTCTGCGCGTGGCTGTCTATGTTTCTGCTCACTCGTAGCGATGTAAAGCGCTGCCTTTGGCTGTCTCTCTCTCTCTTCCTGTAGAGTGTTTGGTGCTGGATATCCCGGCCTGCCTACTATGACCGTGGATGACTGGTATGAGCAGCGCAGAAGGCAAGGAGTCGTGTCTGGTCAGAGCGCGCCTCAGAGAGCACCAGGTACGGAGAGGCAAAGCAAAGATTGGAATAGAGAGTTCGGGAAGCCTCTTGAGGGGCAGGGTGAACAGGGATGCCTTCAGGGTGTAAAACACCCACTGCCTGAGGAAGAGTAGGAACGGGCTTTATTACGCTGTGAGAATAACTGGATTGCGAGGCTGCTCTTTGGCAACTCCAGCTTTCTGTCTAGACCAGCTCCTGGCAGGGCTTCTGTTTTGAGAACTTGACTGGTGATCTTCCACTGTCTTACTGCCCCTCGCTCCTGTTCTTGACCCTCAGCAGGTATAACTGATGAAGAGTTGCAGAAGCAGCAGCAGGAGAAAAAAGAGGAGGAGGATGATGAGGAAGCTCTTCAAAAAGCTCGGAACTGGGATGACTGGAAAGATACACACCCAAGAGGCTATGGCAACCGGCAGAACGTGGGCTGATGCTCTCGCTGCAGAGGGAGCAGGGCCCAGAAATCCTGTAAGAATTGCCTGTGTCCTGGAGATGCAGGAGTAAATACACTGTACATATGCGGAGGTATCCGTGGCTTCTCTGGGAGGCACCGGAGTCGGAGGAGTAAACGTGACAGTTTGCTTTGGTTTACATTAAATGTCAGACTGAGTGCACCGGTCGTGTACAGTGTATCACAGAGCTCCTCTCAGGTGGAGCTCTTTCTGAGGGGTCAGGCTGCCTCTGCTCTCCCAGTCAGAGGAAGTCCTTGAAAGAAAAGTACATGAATTTGGAAACTGCTCTTTGTATTGTGGGTGGATGTATTTATTTTTTTTCTCTATATTTTAAGCAAAATAAAATCTCTTGTGCTGCCTAGTTCTTGCTGTGAATTCCCTTGCTCTTCATCCTAAGCTCTTCCAGAGCAAGTCTGTGAGGCTGGTTTCCAGCAACCAAGGGAGTTGGGGATGGGAAATAGGCAATGTCAGATGGCCGGTTTTTTCGGCCGAGGCTTCTGAACACGGCAGCTTGCAGCGCAGCGTTCGCCTTGGCGGGGAGGTCTGTATGCAGCCAGGTGTCCTTCCTTCCCACAGGCTCATCCTGCTGTGCCCCCCTGAGCGGGCGGACTGAAGGGTTTGGGATTTCTTGTATAAGCAGAGCAGGTATTTCGAGGGCAACGTCTTGAAGTGCTGGTACTACACATAGTACAAATGCCTTGATAGAAGTGTTTGTCCTTGTGCTTAGTGTAACGTGGGGTCTGCATGGCTGTAGCATACGTAATGTAATGCACAACATGGGTCTACTCCGGACCCTCTCCTGGAGCCCTACAGGGGCCAACGCTGGGACAAACGGTGCCGTACTCAAAGGCGAAGCAGCGCGCTGGTTGTTGGTGTGCTTTGAAATCTACTTGCAGAATAACCCTGAAGGGGTGAAAACCCTTTCTGGATTCCTCTGAAGCTAGTTTAAGTAGCTGCTGGCGCTAACCCTGAGCCAAGTGAGAAGAGAGACCGTGACTGGTCTGCCGTACCTGGCACCGACCCGGCGCACGGCAGGCGTGTTACTGGGCAAGAAAGCGAGGAATCGCGGCTGGAAGCTCTGGAGTCGCCCAGCGTGGGCTGGCAGCCCTGACTGCAGTTGTCCTAAACCTGTTACAAATGTTGGGGCAAAAAAACCAAAAAAAAGCATCACTGCTGCTTGCGCGTGTGGCAGTGTGCTACCTGGGGCAGGCCACAAGGCATTTACCGTCTTTGATTTGGCGCAGTCGGCTTCATCAGCAGGGTGCTCCCTTGCTTCTGGGGACAGTGGGATTCTGAAAGAATTGGGTTTTTTTCCTTCCTATTAGCATGATTCAGGCACACCTGAGGGGCCAGCTGGGCTGCAGGAGAGCTTAGATGTTTTATACATAGTGATCTCAGCTCCTCTTAACTAATCTACATCTGTGAATGCTGTTGCACCCTTTTTCCAGGTACTGAGTCTCTACACCACCAGATGATGAGTTTTTGTGGGTTCCTGGGCTCCAAACCTCTCCTGTGAAACATGTTTTTTTTAACAACACATGTAATCCTATACGTGTATTTATCCCTTTCCCACATTTGATGTTAGCCAGCTCTTCCTAGCGAGTACTTCTGGAGAGGTAGATCCTGAGAAGTAGCTCTAGCTGAATTAGTTCCTGTGGATTTTTACTGTTCCTTTGACCGTTGGCCTGAAGCCCCATCTCAGTGCTGCTTTTGTTTCCTTTTCTTCTCATTTTTTTCCCCCAATCCTCTCCAGGCAGTACTCCAGTCTTCCTGGGCTAGCAGGCAGGGCTAGCTGACCCTGGTGCCCCTCTTAGGGGTGGAAGAGGAGGGGATGGTGCTGGACGCTGGGGCTGATGGTCAGGGCCCATCTGGCGGGCTGCGTTCCCGGACTGCGGAGCGGGAGCTTCAGGATGATGTTTTTGGGAGGCTCTGGAGGGGAGTCACGCCGGTAGAGCATGATAGCGGTTTGTGAAATACCCAAAGCACGGACGGTACCATTCCCGGGGGAAGGCGGTCCCCGCCGAGCCGCCGCCGGTGCCAGCAGTGGTGCCTCTCCGAGAAGCGGCGGCTGCCCTTCTCGACGACAGCTCCTCACCGCTCGCCGTGACTCCTCATCCTCCCAAGGGCCATCAGCTCTTCTCCTTGCTCTGCAAGCCGGGGCCGGCGCGGGTCCACTCCCCTCCGCGGCGGACGGTTTACCTTGGATCAGCTGGCTAAAGCAGTTGGATACACAATCCATCGCCCTCTGGTATTTCCAAACTCGCCTTTTAACCTGCTGAACCAGGGTCTGGCGCGGAACTCCTTGTCACCATGAAAACAATTATTGCAGCCTGTTCCCAAAATCTTAGTGGTAAGATATTTCCAAAGCGTGTTTGAATGGTTTCTGATGCTCTGGCGATGCGAGGAGCTGGTCAGGCAATTAGCGTTTGTTGTCACTATTGTCTATTTGCTTTAGACTGCTTAGGGGAAAGGGAGGTGTTCGGAGCAATTTGGGGTTAGCAGCACCAGAGGAAAACATACAGTTGCTCAACAGGAATGAAATTTCTGAAGTTAACGCTGACAATGCGTTTGGTAACGTTACTCCTGCAAGATGCTCCAGAGCGCTGGAAATCCCCCTTCATCTTTCCTTGCTGCCCGGGGCCACGGAGTCCGAATTTCTGGGTCTGAAGAGAGTTCTGTCGCTGTGGACGGGGCCGGCAGCAGAGCCCCTGGGGTTTCTCCATTTTCTGTCTGCAGTCTGGACATTCATGGAGTACTTAGGGGGGAGCTAGAAAAAAGAACTAAAAAAAGCAACTGTTTGGTAGGCACAAATTTGCTAGGCAGAGCTCTGCATCTTCCCTGGAAAAAAAAATGGGGCTTGGGAAAGTTGACAACGGCAGGGCTGTGTGGGCGGCAGGGCTTCTGGGGATGCCTCGCTGGGCGTGCGGGGACAGGCGGGAGGGATTGCTTAAAGCACCGCATGCTGCTTCGGGCAGAGAGAAAGGGAAAACAATTCTTTGATGCTGGTGATGGTTCCAGTGTTTAATTTATTTCAATTGTCCCGTTTGTGGATTGAGCCAGATAGAGTTGAACCTCCCCCAGCCACCCAAACTGGGGTTTGGTGGTTCGCCTCCCACCCGAGGGTCCCGCTGGGGACCTGAGGGTCCCCGGACTGGGGAGCCATGGGGACAGGTCTGCTCCTGTCTCACCCTGAGCATCTCTCTATCTGGCCAGCATGCTGATTTTGGGTTGGTTTTCCCAAGAAAACAAGGCTCTTGTGATACAAGAGCCGGCATAGCTCGCTGCAGCGGCCGTGCCAGGTTGTCTCGGCTGCAGTGGACCTTTGGCCGGGAGCGGTGGGCTGGCGGGACCGGCACCTGTTTCCAGGAGGAGGGATGAGGGATG